TTGAGCTGAGTCCTTTCCAGGCTTCCATCTTTCTGGTTGTTCCTCTCACTAGTTTGCCTCCCCCTTGCACTTATAAGGATTCTTGTGATGACCTTGCCCCCCCCCCAACAGCCCCCAGATAATCCAGGATAATATCTTTTTCTCAAGGTCAGTTGATTAGCAACCTCAATTCCCCTTTGCATGAAAACTAATGTGTTCACAAATTCTGGGGATTAGGACATGACTTTCTTTAAGGGACTAGTATCCTACCTACCACAGGAGCTATCTGGTAAAGTTAAATTTGCTTATGTCTAATGACTTTGCAATTTTATTTCTAGGTATAGTTTCTTCAGAAAATATACCACGTGTTTAGGGGAATTTATACAAGATTCAGCATTGTTTAATAGTTAAAAAATTAGTAAATAGTAAATAATCTAAATGTCTATCAGCAGGAACCAGGATAAATTGTGTTCTATTGATACAATAGAATACAATACAATACAATACAATACAATACAATAATAGTTTATAATAATGAACTAGGAGCTACAGGTGTCAACATGGGCATTTCTCAATAACAAAATGTAGGAAGCCATTTAGTCTATGGTACCATTTTTATAAGGTTTAGAAACCAGAAGACAACCATATTTTATTTCTGGACACACTGCCTGAGGAATAAATAATCCTCAGCCAAACTATAATGTTTTTAGATTCATCTTTAGTCTTTCACTTTTGTGTTTATGCACACTCCTGAACATACAGCCTTCTTCTATAGCAGGGGTTAGGAAATTATGACACTGTGGCAACCCACTTGTTCAGTCCTAAGCATTGAGCTGGTCCCTCAGAGTTGGGATGTTCCCGCGATACAGTCAGGATACATGGTGTTTAGAGAGTCCTGCCCTCAAGGGACTTAGACTAATAGAGAAAGAGATATAAAATAAGTATAATGAAATTTAAGTTTATACTCTAGGGAGGAGGTTATTTAAAACACACTAAAGTGGGAAATGATAACTTTTCCTCAGAGGTTGAAAGGACAAATATATGTAGATTAATATATAAACTACCTGTCTCAGAACAGGGTTTCAATGCTGTGAGTTTCTTACTTTATCTATATTCATGTGTTTCTGACTGTCATCATCCTTTGATACTATATGAATCAGAGTAAGAAATAAAGGGAAGTAAAAGGGCAGAAAAAGAATATTTGGAAGAGGAGAAAGTTGAAAGTGTATTGAATAATGAAAAACAATGACAATTTTTATTTTTTACAACATAATATTTCAAAAATAAGTTTTTTGATTCTGTACTATGCTTTTTATTTTGTTGAAAATGTAGAGTTCCAGCCAAGATGGAAGCGTAGGTAGAAACACTTTGCTTCCTTGCACAACAAAAAGAAGAATAATAACCAATTTAAAAACAATAAACAATCAGAACTGCCAGAAAATTAAACTGCATGGGACTCTGACAACCAAGAAGTTAAAAAAAACATTCATCCAGACCAGCAGAAGGGGTGGAAACAGGCAGCCGGGGGCAGAGAAAACTGGTGGCAAGGGAGCAGCAGCTGGCGAGCTGGGGCAGACAAGGCAGTGGCTGGTGGAGTGGGAAACTAAAGACTCAGCACCTCTAGCTGTAAAATACTGTGGGGGTTTCAAAGGTGGGAGAAACTCCCAGTCTCACAGGAGAGCTTGTTGGAGAGGCCCACAGGATCCTAGAAGGTACACAAACGCACCCACCTGGGAATCAGCACCTGAAAGGACACAATCCACTTGTGGGAAGCAAGGGAAGTGATGGAAAGTGGGGCTGGAGAAGTGCATCCAAGTGGCATTGTTCCCTCTCTGACCCCTCCCCCATAGACAGCACCACAATGCAGAAAAGGGGGTTGCCACACCCTGGAAAATACCTAAGGCTCCATCCCTTACTACATAACAGGTGCACTGAGACAAAGAAATATGGTACAAATCAAAGAACAGATTAAAACTCCAGAAAAAGAACTAAGCAATGAGGAAATAGACAACCTGTCAGATGCAGAGTTCAAAACACTGGTAATCAGGATGCTCACAGAATTTATTGAGTTTGGTCACAAAATGAAGGAAGAAATGAAGGCTATACAAAGTCAAATAAAGGAAAATATACAGGGAACCAACAGTGACAGGAAGGAAACGGGGACTCAAATCAATGGTTTGGAACAAAAGGAAGAAATTATTATCCAACTGAAACAGAATGAAGAAACAAGAATTCAAAAAATGAGGAGAGGCTTAGGAACCTCTGGGACAACTTTAAATGTTCCAACATCTGAATCATAGGGATGCCAGAAGGAGAAGAAAAAGAGCAAGAAATTGAAAACTTATTTAAACAAATAATGAAGGAGAACTTCCCCAATCTGGCAAAAGAAATAAGCTTCCAGGAAGTCCAAGAAGCCCAGAGAGTCCCAAAGAAATTGGACTGAAGAAGGAACATACCAAGGCACATCATCATTAAGTTACCCAAGATTAAAGATAAGGAGAGAATCTTAAAAGCAGCAAGAGCAAAGGAGAACATTACCTACAAAGGAGTTCCCATAAGACTATCAGCTGATCTACAAAAGAAATCTTGTAGGCAAGGAAGGGCTGGAAAGAATTATTCCAAGTCATGAAAGGCAAGGACCTACATCCAAGATTGCTCTATCCAGCAAAGCTATCATTTAGAATGGAAGGGCAAATAAAATGCTTCCCAGATAAGGTCAAGTTAAAAGAGTTCATCATTACCAAGCCCTTACTATATGAAATGTTAAAGGAACTTATCTAAGAAATTGAAGAAGATAAAAAACTATGAACAGTAAAATGACAAACTCACAACTATCAACAACTGAACCTAAAAAACAAAACAAAAACAAACTAGGTAAACAACTAGAATAGGAACAGAATCATAGAAATGGAGATCACATGAAGGGTTACCATTGGACAGGTAGAGGGGGAGAATGGGAGGTAGAAGGTACAGGGAATAAGAAGCATAAATAGCAGGTACAAAATAGACAGAGGGAGGTTAAGAATAATATAGGAAAAGCCCTGGCTGGTGTAGCTCAGTGGATTGAGCGCGGGCTGGGAACCAAAGTGTCCCAGGTTCGATTCCCAGCCAGGGTACATTCCTGGGTTGCAGGCCATAACCCCCAGCAACCGCACATTGATGTTTCTCTCTCTCTCTCTCTCTCTCTCCCCCTCCCTCCCTTCCCTCTCTAAAAAATAAATAAATAAAATCTTTAAAAAAAAGAATAATATAGGAAATGGAGAAGCCAAATAACTTATATGTACAACCTATGAACATGAACTAAGGGCGGGGGGTGATGCTGGAGGGTGGGGGCATGCAGGGAAGAGGGGGGATAAAGGGCAGAAAAATTGGGACAACTGTAATAGCATAATCAATAAAGTATACTAAAAATGTAAAGCAGTGTTTTTTTTTTCATTCTGACATGCATGTTTCTTTTACATACAAAGTTTGATTTAGCACCAATGAATACGCGGAGAACCTGAAAATTTCATTGCAAACTAAATACATTTCTTGTGCTCTAACATTTAAAAACAATTGCCACACACACAGTCTATTCTTTAGGAAAACTTATTTATGGGGACAAACTACATTGGGAAGGTAAGTGTAAGATGTAATAGGAGGAAGTTAAGGGAAATGACCATTACATACTGCAGAAACATACTGAAAGGTAAGTATGGCCCAAAGAAAAAAACTCCATTGGAAAAAATATATTGAAGAAAGATTGTAAAAGTAGTGCTCTGCACCAAGGTCAACAAGTTGAACAACCAAAAAAATGAAAAAGACCTTGCCCAATCCTGGGGTCAGTGGGGGATTCCAGGAAAGAGTTGTGCATTAATGGAACTCCTGAGAGCAAAGAGTGGTACTATTCAAGGGGCATGCCTTGATCTGAAGACCAAATACTCTTGGCCTTGACCTGGAGAGATTTACTGTTGTGCTAGAAGCACGGGGCATGCCTGGAGCATGTGGACCAGCAACCTGCATGTCCAGCATTCATTCACTCATCCCACTGAGGGTCGATGTTAGGTCTTTTACAACTCTTTGCTTCAAACTTGGATTTCCTTCTCAAATCACAGGGAAACTAAACATCTATATCTGTTAAAGCTCCTGAAGCTGAAAGCAATAAAGGATGACCACTTATAGCCTTTGAGGAATCACCTTAACACAGGGTTTCTATGACAGGGAAGGAGAGGAATCTGCCAGTGATTTTCCTGAGGCTGCCACTGGACCACCACTGAGTAAACCAGTCACCTCACAGGAAACAAGAATAAAATCCTCCAGAAAAAATAAGTCAGAATCTCTAGTAAAACTGATGCTCACACATAGGTATGTAAGTGTCCCAAACACCCCTAGGGAAAAATCTGAGGGCTCTTGGTGCCAACTGCTAGAAGTTTGATACTAGATTGGAATGGAACAGTATCTTTGAGATTTTAGACAATTTTAGATGTCAGCATAAGGGGTTCAGGGCCCACTCCTGAGGATGAGGTTAAAACAAAACCAAAATAACTACCTTGAGAGAACATGCATGTTCTAACAGACCAAACATTTTATCTGGGTGAAGGGATGATATAATTCATGAATCTCAAGAACATAATGTAACAACAACAACAACACAGTGTTGAATATATTCAAATATCAAGGCAAGGCATTTTCCCATATAAAACATTCTAATTTCCCCACTGCTCCAAAGAAATCCAGTAAATAACTTTACAGTGAAGGGCCCCAATGAGCACTATGAGTGATCACAAGACTCAAGCAGCTGCAATGGTGGAGGCACCTAAAGCGCCAACCCCTCCACAAGGTTGCCTGCAGTTGTCTTTTTCAAATGTGACCCGCTGGTGTTTCCAAGCTGCTTTACAGATTAGTTCCATCTGGTAAAGCCCAGCAGGGAATGAGCCAAAGAGTACAAGCCAAGAAGTGGTCAAAGCCAAGGTTTCCACGTGACAACTCCCTCTTCTTCCGAGGGACTAGTGACAGCTGAAGCCTGGCTTGAAGTGCTTCAGTCACGTGGGCTTGGCAAATCTTCTGCATCCATCACGCCAGAAGAGCTCCGGAGGGCTCTCTCTGAAGCAATACTTTGCTGTGGGATCCCTATAGGTGTTCTCGGGCTGCACGGTCTGGGATGAGGTCCTGCACTTAGCCAAACACAATTCAAAGCAGTCATCGACTGCCATGAAGAGGTTCTGGGATGCCGCGGCTGCCAGGTCGAGGAACCGCTCCAGAAGTTGCTTGTTGGGCTGCTGGCAGCGGGAAACGCAGTGCTCCTAAGCACTGCAGCAGCCATTGGACAAGCAGCCCTCACAGCACTACTGCTTGGTGCCCTGGACATTGACCTTACAGCAGCCAATAACCAACAAATCCTTCCTTTCACAAACATATCCTAGTTTGTCCCATGATGAGTTGCTTCCCTTGAATGAAAGCACTGGTTGCTGGGTCAACTGCTATTGCCTAAGTTAAACTGCATTTTCCACAGAAAGGGCTGATTGTGGTCTTGAACCTGGAGGAGATTCCATCTCTCACTGCCCTCTCCTCTTGCTTGAAGGTGCTGGTGAGGAAGTGGACAAGAGAGAGTGGTAAGACTATGGTGAGCACCCACCTTTTCCTCAGGAGCCTGCTCCACATGATAGCTCTGAGGTTCACTGTGCAGGCACTGGTGTGCGGCACTGGGCACTGTGGCCAGGGTGCTGGACCCAGAAACCCAGGGCCAGGCTGCAGGCCCCCTACACAGCCAGCAGCCGCAACCCTCACTCCAGGCACCGGCCCCCTAAAACCAGTCATTTTCATCAGAAACATAATCATTTGATTTTCCTAGTGCTAAGTATAAGTAAAGTGAATAAGGTTTCTCAAATAATTTGCTTGAACGTTCATGCTAGTATTTGCCAGAACATAGGCCAATAACTTAGCAATACATTTATGTAGTATGCTAAACAATTTTTTGAAACAAACCCTTGTTTCTGTTAGAGAACACGTTTACTTGAATGAATTCTTTTTTTAATTTAATCTTTATTGTATTTTTTCCATTATCATTAGTCTTCTTATAATCCCCTCGCCCCAGCAATCACCACACTGTTGTCCATGTCCATGAAACCTTTTTCCTTTTTGCTCAGTCCCTCCACCTCCTAACATCCCCCCACCCCCCTAGCTGCCATCTTGCTCTCCATCTGTGAATTTTGGATATTAAAACCTTAACAGGTATATTGGTGAATATATCCTTCCATTCTGTGGGTTGTGTTGTTATTTTGTTGATGATTTCCATTTCTGTGCAAAAACTTTTAGTTTGAGGTTCTGCAAGGGAAACAAAAGAAAAAATACACAAATGAAATGACCTGACAAATATATCTGAGCAATGTCTGTGCAAAAACTTTAGTTTGAGGTTCCACAAGGGAAACAAAAGAAAAAATACACAAATGAAATGACCTGACAAATATACCTGAGCAATGTCTGAGATTGGTGCTCCCTTGTATGTAACTACCTGTCTTTCTCTTATGGCTTTTAGGATTCTCTCTTTGTCTTTAAGCCTTGGCATTTTAATTATGATGTGTCTTGGTGTAGGCCTCTTTGGGTTCAACTTGCTTGGGACTCTCTGAGCTTCCTGGACTTGCGTCTCTTTTTCCTTCACCAGACTAGGGAAGTTTTCTGTCACTGTTTCTTCAAATAGGTTCTCAATGCCTTGCTCGCTCTCCTCTTTTTGGTATTCACATGATGCAGATGTTGTTATGCTTGTCCCAAATGTTTCTTAAGCTCTCATCAATTTTTTTTAATTCTTTTTCCATTTTGCTGCTCTGCCTAGGTGTTTTTTACCTTTTCTTCCAAATCACAGATTTGATCTTCTGCTTCATCTAACCTACTCTTTATTCCTTCCAGTGTATTATTTATTCAGAATTTGTATTCTTTATTTCTGACTGGTCCTCTTTTACTGTTTCTGTGTTTTTTTCCCCTGCTCTTGAGTATCCTCATAATCATTACTCTAAACTATCTGATAAATTGCTTGCCTCCATTTCATCTAGTTCTTCTTCTGGAGAATTCTCTTGTTCTTTCATTTGGGGTCTGTTTCTTTTTCTTCCAATTTTGGTTGCTTCTTTGTATTTTCCGCCTGAAACAGATCAGTGATATAGCCTCAAGCTGTAATCAGCAGCTGGGCTTTAACACCACAGGGTGAGACAGAGTAATTCCTGTGAATGGGACTATTGCTTCCCCTCAGGCTGATGCCACATGGAGAGGACTGCTCTCCATGAGAAAGATGGCTTCAGTGGTATGTGGAATGACTCAGCACAGGGATCCTGGCAGCTGTTCCTTTAGTTCTCTCCCCAGAGCCACCAGACCCACACCCTCCTCAAGTGTCTGCTCTAGTCCACTCTGCCCTCCCTCTGCCAGGGCCCAGGATAAGTGGCTGCAAATGAAATTTTGTGCATTGGCCCTTTAAGAGGTTCTCTATGTCTCTAGTCACATCTCCATGGCAGACAGAAACCCTGCTGCTTTTCACAGCTGGGTGTCATCTGGGTTCCTTTCCAGCTCTGGTGCTGGGGAGCTCATTTTGTTGTTTAGACTCCACACTTCTCAGGGGGAACCCCCCGGTTGCTGAAATATCCCTCCGGAACTTCAGTTTCTGACTGTGGGAGCCCAGCCTGCCCTCTTGCACATTCTGCACACTTCCCACCAGCCTCATAGTCGTGTAGTGTTTTCTCCTGTCTGCCCTTGGTTATAAGGTTTCTCTCCAGCTAGTGTTCAGGAAGATTTTTCTACAATTTAGTAGTAATTCCAGACTGGTCCTGGGAGGAGGTTAGTGTATAATTTCTACTTACTCCTCTGCCATCTTGGATCTCTTCTTTAATGAATTCTTAAGGTTAAAAAAAAAAGGTTAGATAAGCTGTCATCATAATAATTGCTCATTTTTATTTACTGAGTTTTTAAGGCCTATTGAATTATCTGCAGAACATGCTTAACTCTGTTACACAGTCAATAATGATTCCCCAAATGACAATTAAAGTTATTTTGGCTCATATTATTTTTGTCCAAGAAAACCACTTTTAGTTGCCTCCAGGATAAAAATATTTTATATGTAATATATTTTTCTCTTGTTCTCTTTGATCTTCAGTGGTCCAAGTGTTTGTTCTCTTGGAAAGACAAATCTGTTTTCTAAGGAGGAACTGGGCACTTGCTTTCACCTAATAGTTTTCACTTAATTGCAAAACTATTACTACCTGGTTTTCCCTGCCGGATATTTTTTCACATTTTTTGTTATTATATACAATCTTATAACCATGAGATTTTAGAATTAATTTCTGATGACAAAGCCTCTTCAAACGGTATTCCACTCTTTTCTCTAGTGGAATCACACCAAACTAGTAGCTTGCTTCTAGGCTAGAATTTCTTGTGTAGTTCTATTATGTATAGCATCAAAATGATATTTCTTTAACAAACAGCAAGAGGACTTCAATCTTTTTCTAATAAAATGTTCCTTTAAATTCAATTTAATAGTACTCCTGTGTTTTCTATAAGACTTCGTTTTTCTTTCAGCCAGCCATGCCCTACTTAATGAGGGGCAGACATAGATCCAACCGGTAGCACAGCAGGAAGATATTGTTACTTTTGGGAGAGTAGGGAGGTGGGAAAGCCCCACTGGTGCTATAGGTTGTACAAAAGGAACAGAAGTACACCACTGACAGAGTTCAGAAGGCATACTATGCAAACTGCCCACTCATCTATGAAATAAAATCCCACCTCCTCCAAGCCAATTTATAACAGCTAGTAGAAATTATCGTCTTGAGAATTTTGTTTTGTATTAAAATAACATATTTGGAATTCTAAAATCTAAAATAATAAAATATGTTTAGATTTCAAAGTAGTTGCTTAAATGTTGGTCCATTTGCAACTATTTATCCTTTAATGCAGAAACTTTGACACATAACTTCAAGTAAATGAAGATTGCAGCCCTGATTGGTGTGGCTTAGTAGATTGGGCACTAGACTGGTATCTGAAAAGTCATGGGTTTGATTCTCAGTCGAGGCACATGCCTGGGTTTTAGGCCAGTCCTTCAGTTGGGGGCATGTGAGAGGCAACCGATTGATGTTTCTCTTGTACATTATTTGTCTCACACATTGATGTTTCTGTCCCTCTCTTTCTCCCTCATTTCCTTTCTCTCTAAAATAAATAAATAAATAAACAGACAAATAAATAAATAAATAAAAACTGCCCTTCAAAAAGCATTAAAAATACAAATAAAGATGACATTATGCATTTTTGACAATGTTGTATAAATTGAAACAGTGAGATCAACTTAATGATAGTCTGAATGAATTAAGAAGTTTAGTAGAGTAATATTTACAAAGTCATTAATTTGCAAAACTGTTTTGTTGTCTTTACTAAAATGTCATAACTAGTTTTGTGGTGTGTGTGTATGTGTTTAGAAAATAATATAGCATAATGGTTAAGGTAGAAATTCTAGGGTCAGCCCTGATTTTATTTCTACATATTAGTTCCATGGCCTCGTGATGTCTCTTAAGGTCTATAAGCCATAATATTCTCATTTTTAAATGAAGGTAAAATAACATTCTATATGAAGAACTAGGCACAATGTTTGCCAAATTACAAGGACACAATAAATGTTACATTATGTGACAGTCACGTGTATTTGAAAATGGGTAGCAAACCATAAAGTACTACATAATTTTCATGAGAAATGTATAGATTTACTGCACAGGGCTGAGATAGGGGAATTGTCAACCAAATATTGTTTGATTTGCCAGTGGCTCAATAGGGAGAAGAAAGCCTTAGTTCTGGTAACGAAATTAAAGATATAGAATATTAAAGCTGAATTCAATACAACTTTTTTTGTTTCTTTTTAACCTAGAAGCCCAAGAGTGAGCAATCAAGAATCAATGTTATGGAAATGTATTAAGTGGTAAATAAATCCTGGAGGGTGTGATCTTATTGAAATGATTTTAGCACAGGTAAAATCCTGGCTACCTCAGACCTTGTAGGTGGGACAGATGGGTGTGAATGCAAACTCCTTAGCATATTCACATCTGGTCCCTGACACCTTTTAAGTTTTTCTTTCCATTATAGTCTTCCATATTGTGTAATCTTCTGCAGCTCTTACCAACCCATGCATTTCTGGACATCATTGTTTCTGTTCAGCTTAAAATATCTTCTATCTTATCTCAAAATTCAGGGCTACTTGACATATTACTTAATCATCACCAGAAAATACTGAAGGCTTTTTAGTCCCACTTTTAGAAATCATACTTTCTCTCCATGTCTCCCTATCACATTTCTTTCATCTCCATTTGTATGCATATGTCATTTTACCTTCAATCACAGTTATTTGTGTTTCATATTCTTTTATTGCGAACAAGTAGTCCATTGGGTCATCCTTTGTGTCTTCTGGTCTCTATAGCCACTCAGTGCTTGACCTAATGCATTGCACACAGTGAAGACTTAGAAATGATGGCTGGATTGAATTGAAATCAGACTTACTTAGACAAAGTCCATTAACTGCAGGAGTACTCTTTCTGAGGTGTTGGGACACGTCAACTTTCTAAATGGCCCTAACCACTGGAGTAGACTAGATCCTTGTGATAGCACATAAAGTGGAGATAAGTCTTTTAAAGATAAAGAATTATTGGCAGTCATTTTTGAAATGGCAAAAATATTCATTATATATTTAATAGCCAACTGTGGATTCCTAGAATTATGTCAATTTTTAAAAAAAGAATTTTCTTTTTTTTAAAAAAGATTTTATTTATTTATTTTTTTAGAGAGGGAAGGGAGTGAGAAAG